TTCCCCGATTCAGCTGCTGGTCAGTTTCAGCAGCAGCTGAATGGGGGAAGCCTGTCCGGCTGCCCCAGCACTTCCGGGTTCCTGATGGTGCCGGACCATCAGGAGTCCTGGAGCATTGGATGCCGGACTAATGGAGTTTTACTGTAGCAATAGCATGCAGGGGTGTGAAAATCTCCTGAGTCCTGTAGCTACACCAGCTTTTTTCAAACCTGGGTCATGGGACCACCAAGATAGCTGGGGGTGGTCCCACAATGCTTTGTTTACTTAATGCGTCAGTAGCCATGGAGCCTTTCAGCTCCTGTTAGTGGCCTGAAAGAGCAAACTGCAGCCAATGGGAGCTGCGAGGCTCCATGGCTACAGACACATTAAGTAATCAAAGGAGCATGGGCCTGCCAGCATCTTACTGTGGCAGCCCCGCGACCCGAGTTTGAAAAACACTTAGCTACACCATCCTAAGATCAGCATAAATATAGCTAGACTGGGAGAGACTTCTTCCCTCGACCTAGTTGTAAGGAAGGCGGAATATCAAAAGATCCTGTGTCTGTGCTATCAGATTATGTCACTGCAGTCTCTGTAGTGAGACGTGGCCTAAGAATTTTCTCCTCTTCTTGTTTCTTGTTCCCTTTTTAGTAACAGGGAAAAAGTAGACAGTGGCTCCCTCTAAAGTTCAGTAATAAGCAACTTATTCAACTGTTTAGGAAGCTTTTAGTTGCCGTGTAAATATTAGAGAAACAAAAATCAGTACAACAGTGAACTTTTGTTTAGAGACATGACAAAGCAATGTAGTCATCACTTCCCTCTTTTACAGGGTGTTACTTTTATAGTGAGCATCATTACAACATCCAGTACAGTAAACTTCCGATAATCCCGCATCTTTAGGACCCAGGGGGTGCCGGATTATCAAATATGCCGGACTATTGGAACGGCAGGGGCAAAAATCAGTACAACAGTGAACTTTTGTTTAGAGACATGACAAAGCAATGTAGTCATCACTTCCCTCTTTTACAGGGTGTTACTTTTATAGTGAGCATCATTACAACATCCAGTACAGTAAACTTCCGATAATCCCGCATCTTTAGGACCCAGGGGGTGCCGGATTATCAAATATGCCGGACTATTGGAACGGCAGGGGCATGGAGGTCTGGGGGTAGATGGGGAGAGGGGGAGGGGGCGGTTGCGGCACTGCGGAACCAACCCGGCAG